AATTTGGTCCGTCTGTTGATAATTATCTTTCCCAATAGGATTTTTCTTTATCCTTATCTTCACGAACGAATATCAATCTGGTATCTCTGTGTCCTTTCAGGATAATTGGAGTTTTCTGTGGGGAGCGTGACGTTATATTGCTCCTATGGATTTCAAGTACTTATTGTCCATGTGATTGAAGGAAACCATTCTTCAAATCCTGACATGTAACCATTAGATTTTATTTAATTTGACTAATTAACTTCCTCGAGAATCTCGAAGGAATCCTTTCTTCTTTGGTTTTCAACAGTTTTGTGCTTTTTATACCAAACATTGAATGAACTAATTGTAGTAAATGGAATATTCATTATTTCTGATGTTTTCCTGTAAATTTTACTATCTTTACAAAGCTGAACAATCAGTTCTTTTTGTCAATTTGTTCATTCTATACCTCTTGCCATGATGATAACGATCCTGTACGAATATCAATTACAGAATATTCTATTTGCATTTTTAGGCTAAAGATAAGTATGGATAACATGATTGGAAAATTCTGGAATATTCAATTTGAATAATCTTGAGTATTAAGCAATTTAATGTTTTAAAACCTGGAATTTACAACATATGAATAGATTTTTAACACATTAAAATGGATAAGTGGGATTTATTTCTATTAAATCAACATTTTTTTTTGTTTTCTATGCATATGTAATTATTATGCATCTGTTTACAATTAATTATATAAAAATTGTTTATTAATTAGTTGTAAATACAATCAAATGAAAATTTGAATATGTACGAATATTTGTTTCCCCCCACTGTATATACATATACATATATATATATATATATATATATATATATATATATATATATATATATATATATATATATATATATATATGAAAATTTCTCAGGGTTAACCTGTAGAAAAGACAATATTTATAAATATAAATGACAATAGGAAAACTGTAGTTATTGCTGACGCGTTTCGTCCCATTTGGACTTTCTAAAAGCAAAAAACGGAATGAGTTTAATTAAAGAAAGTAACTAATAATAACAAAAAACAGAATGTTCTTAGCAACTGGAAGAATGTAGAGAACGCTATTTTCTTATTGTTAACTGAAAATAACGTCACTTTTCTTAACAAAATTACTGCTCTCCCAAACAAACGTACACAACAATATCAAAAGAAAATGGTTGAGTCAGTCAACACAGCTATAATTACAATATTCTCCACACGTGACAGTAACTGATGTTATTTTCATTTTCTCTTGTGACTTTTCAGACCAGCTAGAGTCAAACTGATTTAGTCCTATATAATGCATTTGCGAACCAACCTGATTTACCCATTTCGTCTTTCGCTTCATTTACGTACCCCTTCCAGACATCTCTTTTCTGCTTTTCATATTCAACCCGTTTTTTCTCAAAACAAATTCTTTCCTGCATGAACCTCTCTCCTCCACTTTCTCCGATCCACTGTCTGGTCAATACCACACTACTTTAAAGATATTTTCAAACAATTCTTGTACCTCATTTTCGTTTTCTGAGCCAGCCAACTACCTCCAACGATTTCGCCATTCAGGAGTTTCTTGCTCATTCGTTCGTTCTCTAATCTGACTAGTGATTTTCAAATTAGTTTCTATTTCGAGATTAAATCCGAAACTAAATAGAAACTAATTTGAAAATCACTAACTATTTAGATATTACGTTGAATTTCCAAAATGGTACAATATCCCCGTATAAAAAAGAAAACCAGGAACACCAATATTTAAACATAAAATCTAACCACCCAGCCCATATCATAAAGCATATTCCAATGAATATTGGGTATAGAATTTCTATTAATTCCTCCAATAGGGACATTTTTAGGCCAATAAAACAAGTTATGAGGAAGCCCTATCTAAGAGTGGACATAAAAATAAATTGGAATATATTAATATAAATAACCCTAACAATACTCAGAATAAACGTAACAATAGGCAGAGACTTATTAGAGCAACATTTCCCACAAAAAACTGAGTTACATAAAATATTCAACAAAAACAATGTAAAACTTATTATTCAATCCATTTATTATAGTCCCTACGTTAGGCATGCAACAATAACTATGTAAAACTTAGTTATTGTTGCATGCCTAACGTAGGGACTATAATAAATGGATTGAATAAGAAAAAAAACAGGAATAATCCACGAGGTAATCCTCCTACTTGTAATTGTAGAAACAAAAACATCTGTCCATTACAGGGAAAATGTCAGCAAGAATGCGTGGTTTATCAAGTGAAAATTTACAAAGATAGTGAAGATACTAACCCTAAAATATACATAGGTGCTACTCAGGATAAATTTTAAAAAAGATACTATAACCACACGAGTAGTTTTAAAAACGAAAAAACTAAACATAGTACCACGTTATCCACCTATGTATGGAAAACCAAACAAGAAGATAATAAAGACCCCATCCTTAAATGGGAAATATTAAAAAAAAATGCCCCAAATATAAAGCAATCCAAAAATTTTGTAAATTATGTACAGAGGAGAAATTAGCCATAGCTTTATATGATCAACCTAACCAGCTATTAAACTCCAAAACTGAAATTCTTAACATATGTAGGCATAAAAAATCTGGATTACTAAATTAGACGTTTTTTTCCCGTGTATTTGTCATTCCACCTTAATGTTCGTATTTTAATATCCCCCCTTTTTGTTGAATAAATCTTTAAAAACTCAGGTTTGTGTTGTGTTGTGTGGTTCTTTCTTTGGTCACATGGTATAATTTTAGCTATCGCCTATAAATTTGCGTTTCACTTTGCCTCTTTAGCCAAATTTCCCTGACGATCCGTTTAGGTGAAACCTAGGTAGGTTTGTCTGGCTCACTAGGTGTATCTAGATAGATAGATAGATAGATAGAAAGATAGATAGATATCAATTGAATTTATTTTGTATATATTTTGTTTTGTTTTTTTCCAAAATTAAAATTTGTTATGAGTGTGTACGTGTGTTTTTTAAACAACACTTACGTATCGTTTTGTTTTAGTTTTTCGTTTATTAGTTTTTCTTGTATGCGTTCAAGTGATTTTATTTATTAGCTTAATGTTTTTCATTCATTTTTTGAAAGATTCCATGCGGTATTAGCGAAACACTGAGTAATTTTGACGGATTTCTTTTATATTCTCATTAGAAATGATGTGCAATTGATATTGTTGACACTATAAATTTTACTGCAAGTACATATATTTTTAGTTTTCGAATTAAGCCAGTATAGCCTAGCCACGAACATAATCCATATATTTCAGAATTCTTTCTTGTTTTTTTAATATTTCATCGTTTTTAAATATTTATTAATATGATTGTTGCCTATATATATATATATATATATATATATATATATATATATATATATATTATTTAAAAAAAAAATAATAATAAAATAAAAGCAGTCGTGGCTCGTGGGGCACTGTTCCAAGGTTATCTGAATACTTGGATAAGTGCGGCTGCGGAACTGAGTGAGTAGTGGCATCGAGTCCAGTTTGTTTGTCTCTTTCGTTACCGAGGCACCGTGGTACGCTTGAGATGACGTTTGCCCTTAATCGAAACTGTCCTGGTTCGATTCTCGTTAGTGGATGAGCACTGTCGATGAGTCCCACATAGGACGAATCGGCCGTCTAGTGCTTTCTGCATTTTGTTGATGATTATTCTGGGCGATGGTAAATTACTGGTGAGTGAACGATTAATTTGGTTTCAAAAGCAAAATAAATCCTCATTTAAAAAAAAGCCTTGAGCCCTTTATCCAATCTAATATGACCCACGTTGAATTCAAACTAAGCGAAAAATGAAAAAAATAGAAATTATTATCTTAGATATGTGTCATGGCCATAAATTTTTGATTTAAAAGTAGCCAGACATTAACTTAAACACAGATACAAATGGTTACAATAAACATACGCATGCCAAACAGTCAACTTTTATGGAAAATAAAGCGAAGAGGGGCGGTAGAGAAGAAATTTAACCGAATGCCCAACTAGTTTTCAGCTTTGTGGATTTCCTACATAATTGTTTGTAGTTGATAAGAGGTTTCTTTAAGAAACTAGTAAATAATTTAAACATATAAAATTATTTGGTAAATAATATGCAGCCATTAAATAAATATCATCCATATAAGATATTAAGCGTATCAACCAATCAATGTAAAATGTCAAAAAATGCTAACTAAATACCAATACATCCGTATAAGATGTTAATAATGCTACTAGTAGAACTATACAGAACTAAATTAAACCCAAATTTATCATAAAAATAGAAAGAAAAACATATACGGTGCGACACATTTCAATTAATATCTAAGAAAAAACATTGTCAATTTCCAAAGTTTAACTTAATTGTAAGGTAAAAGGTAGACTGTATTTACAATTTACCGTTAATTCAGATCTTTGATTTAATAAAGAATTCTTATGAAAGAATCTGATAATTTCCAATTTTTCATGTCATCACAGAAAACATGGTTCATATGAGGATCTACAAGGAGAAGAAAATTAATACAAAGAAAAGGAAGAATAATAAGAAGATTAAAACAAAGAGAGCGAAGAAGTTTATTACAAAGACTGCAAAAAAAGAGGAAGATTAATACAAAGACAGTGAAGAAGAAGACGAAGAAGATTAACACGAATACTACAAAATATACGAAGACGATTAATACTAAGACTACAAAGAAGAAGATTAATATAGACTGCGAAAAATTAAAGAAAATTAATGCAAAGACTGCGAAGAAAAAGAAGAAAAAGAAGAAGAAGCAAAAGAAGATTAATTCAATGACTGCAAACAAAGAAGAATGAGAAGAAGATTAATATAAAAAATCTGAAGAAGACTACGAAGAGAAAAATGAATAATACAATGTCGGTGAAGAAGAAGGTGAAGAAGAAGCAGAGTAAGAAGATTAATACAAAGACTGTGAAGGAAAGATTGCGAAGACGAATATGATTAAAAGGAACACTGCGAGGATGAAGAAAAGATTAATAAAGGACTTCATCGAAATTGTGAAGAAGAAGAAGAAGAAGAAGAAGAAGGAAAAGAAGATTAATACAAAAAAGAAGAGGATGATCAATTAAGAAGATTAATACAAAGTCTGCGAAGAAGAAGAAGAAGAAGAAGAAGAAGAAGAGGATTAATTCAAAGACTCCAAATAAGAAGACTGCGAAGAAGAAAATGATTGATACAAAAACTGTAGAAGAATCAAAGAATATTAATACAAAGCCTGCGAATTAAAATATTGCGAAAAGGAAAGTGATTAATACAAAGATTGTGAAGGGAAGAAAAAGGAGAAGGATATTAATAAAAATCCTGCAAAGAAGAAGATTAATAAAAAAAAAAAACTGTGAAGAAGAATATGACGAAAAAGATTAATAAAACATCCGCGAAGAAAACATTATACAAAGACTGCAAAGAAGAAGAATGTGAAGAAGATTAATAAAAAAAACTGAAGTAGAAGACTGTGAAGAAGATGAATAAGACAAAGACTAAGAAGGAGAAGAAGATGAATACAAAATTGCGAAGAAGAAGAATGCAAGGAGGAAGAAGATTAATACAAAGACTGCGATTAAGAGGAAGATTAATACAAAGACTTCGATTAAGAAGAGAACTATTAATACAATGACTACGAAGTAGAAGTCTACAAAGAAGAGTAATAAAAACACTGCGAAGAAGAAGAAGGGAAAGAAGAAGAAGAAGAAGAAGAAAAGAAGTTTAATACAAAGACTCCGAATAATAAAAAGAATATTAAAACAAAGACTGCGTGGCTCCCTTTCTCAGTCGTTACACCCGGCAGTTGTGAAACAGACACATACTTAGCCGCGTCTACTTCAACTTCCTCTTTGTTTGTGTGTCTGTCAATCCGTACGTCTAACACACGCAGTCTGCCGAATGACTTATCACTTTTTGTGCTGCCGGCATCTCGCTTTTTATGCTATTCCAAGACGGCCAAAATTTGCATGTGTGCAAATATCGTCTCGTTTTGGGCGACATCGGAGCGCATAAACTGTGTCTTCAATAGCAGCCATGTTTCTTTTTGTCATCACTTTGCAGGCAAGACACGTTCGCTCTCGTTTCGAATTCTGAGGTAAGTCATGTCTTTCGTCACATAAGCGAAGCAGAAATTAAAACTATACGGAAAAAGCTGGAAGGATTGGAAAAGGTTCAGAGAATTTTAGCACTGGTGGTACAAGGAAATATATCGATATTGAATGTGACAAAATTAGGACTGGCGGAAAGCAGAATAAGTATGAATGGGTTAATAAATTATATGTAAAAATTGAGATAAAAGATTGCCAATATTTCTGCTACCATAGCGATTGACTTACAGGGGTTAAGTAGCTTCGTCTAACAGTATTTCTAGTTGATGACAATTCTTAAGACGATACGCCAGACTAGCCAATCCATGATGCTTTTGTTAGAGCATGTAAGAGTTCGGCTGGACGTGTCATCATTGGGACATTTGTCCCCGAGTATAGTGGCCCCTGATCACTTGAAGTAGTTGCTGTTGAAAATACAAACCGAGTTACCTCATCGTTTGAAGTTGATCGTGGACCCCACAGAAATGTTATTGGGATACTACAAGAAGATAGCAGACCGTTGGTTATAATGGCCTTATCATGGTTACACAGGGAAAGTAACTTTAAGATATATCAGATGATAAACACACCCGTTTCTGCTTAAGCGCAGAACAGGGACCGCGGGTGGTTGCAAAATATGAAATTGAGACAGAATATATAGATTTAAATTCAGCAACAAAGGAAGTCATGTTGTTGACGACGAAAGTAAGAAGGATATGTGGAGCCGATGATTTAGGGGAGTGTACTTCAATCAGTCCCATTTATGTGGCGGGGTATCACAGATTGTGTGTGCTTTAATTATTTAGGGGCAACAAAAAGGGGATAAAGGAAAACTGTCGAATGGAGATTTTGTTAAATTGCACAAGCTTTCAGTATATCTGATAGGTTTGAGCTGTGACCACCCAAAGTCAGATGATATATCCAAAGTATGTGGTGGCTGGACTCGCTGGAGCAATAAGGATAGATCACCCTTGGTTTTGATAGAATTACCCATGGTATGTTCGGTATTTGGATTATTAATCTCCCTTCCACCATGTTATCAGACCAAAAGGAAATCAAATAGGAGGAAAATATGAGAAAAAAAAATTCACTGGTGAGTTTAATCGAAATGAGTTGGAATAATCGGACAAAGATTATGGGAATCACTGGTAGAGAAATTCTCTGAAGTGACATCAAAAGAAGATGCCAGTTATTAAATCTTAGTCATCAACAGCTGAAAGACAAATTGAGTGCCACGGGAAAAGAGAATACAATAAAGTGAAATAATTCAGGGATCATAATGACTTGATACGCTATGCTAGGTACCTTAATACTTATTGCCGGCATAACGGCAGCAATATCTAAGCTAGAAAAAGCATAGGAATAAATCGATAAGGTATTTGCGATTTGCATCAAATCGAGAAATGTGATGCCATTTAGTGTTCTTTACCTAAGTAGATTGAATCCAGACGAGGAACAGACCGAATTGAGTGCGTCAGGAGAACAGAAAGCAGAGTCGACACCTGTCAAAGGAAAACCAGCATCCCACACAGAGGACAGACGTTCAAGAAAGCGAACCTTAAAAACCGGTCAGGTGATTTAATTGTAAAAGGTTTATGTGAACCCCCTTGTAAATCTGCATTGCTCATGGACTGGAAATGATGAAGAAAGTCTTTTTAATTGCACTACAGGTTTTATGAAAAAAACAATGCATTAAGTATTGTCACTGGGGAAGAACACGAAAGACTTTAATTACACTTCACGTTTAATGGAAAATTAAACATGCAATGATGCATGATCCTTTGTTTATTATTATTATTATTTTGATGGGGTGCCATTTACAATTAAATGACAGAAATGGGGGAAAACAGGAATGTGACACTATTTTCACACTGATAGTATGAAATTAGTGTTAAAATGGTTCATGTGAAATCCTTGTATAGGACTGTAGAATTGGATGGGTTGAAAACGTTAAAAAACCTTAGAGTGTAAACACGAACAGAAATATCAAGAAAAGGAAAAAAAGCAATGTGTTTTTTTTTTTGCTTTCTGACAACCAGCAAAGCCGAATGGAGTGTTCGGTCCAAAATGTGCTTTGGAGAAAATATAAACTGAAAAGCATATAAGAATTGTCGGAATGTAAATGAGTATCGTTTCGAAAATGGACAGAGAAAGGAAAACCGACAACAAAGAAAATTCTTACCGTTAGAAATAAATTTCAAAGGTACAGAATATTGTCAGAAAAATCATTATTTTGAATAATTGGCGGTTTTGTAGTTGAAAGTCATTGTCGGCCGGGAAGCGAATTTAAGAAAAGCCAAAATGTAAACAATGGGATTTGAAATCGGTCAGTTGAAAGTTGGAAAACGTATGAATTTCTTTAGAGATAATTTTTAAAGGTCGTTGACGGGGAAAATTATTGTTTTGGTAAAACGGCCGATTATCGAAAAAATGTTGAAACAAAATTTGTTTTGTAAAGAGCAGGCCGCTTAGTGTGAGGTCGGTATCATGTCTTCGAAGTTGGATAAAATAATTTATTGATGAATAATGAGTTTTAAGGACGGTAAGAATCGAGCGAAATACATATAAATCGAACTTTTGATTGAAGCCAGCACTTGGAGCGAGAAGGGGCCAGAAGCCACTAGAAGCCAGCAGAGGGTGCAAGAGGACGGCGTAGGACGGAGGAAACCATGTGTGACCTACTGCCAATACAGAATTCCAGACGACGACACATTTGGTGTGAATGTTTTTGACCCTCTTCAAGATGTACAAGCAAGAGACACAGTCTGAGGATAGAGAGTTTAATGCAAGGTGTAATTTTGTTGTAAACGATATGAAAATTAGCCCAGCGGACTTCTACGTTATTTCTTATGATATGAATACTATAACTGGCGTAATCATTCTTATCCTTTTCATAGCACGGTTCCGACAACTCGATTCAGCGCTTAAATACGGACGAAAATTCGACCTTCAAGTGGTAAGAGTAGATGAAGGAACGAAGTGGTCAACAGATAGTCATTTGTTGACCGGCGTTGTGCTGACCAGCGTGGAAAAAACCCAGCTCGAGCCGATCTGGGCCGGCCGTGTTATACAAAACCCCTTTTCTGATTACACAAAAATCAAATACAATCATACAGCTCGAGTATACTCAAAACTACAAAGATATGAATTTGATAAAAACGGCCGATTGTCGCAGGGAAGATTTAAGTCGTACTGGAAAACCGACAAACAAAGAAATTGACGATTTTGAATAAATAATTTTGTTTTGAAAAGTTGACTGTTTAGTATTTGAAGGTCATTGTCGGCTGGGGAGCGAATTTTGGCAAAACATCAATGTAAATAACGGCATTTTGAATCAGTCATTTTGGAAATCGACGAACAAAAAAGCCGATTTGAAATACATTTTTAAACACAAAAATTTATTATTGAAACAATAATTAGTAAGAGGAATGTGGAGACAAAGTTTATTGTTGCGAAATAGCTGACCGCTTTGTTTAGGGCGGATGTCATGTCTCTAGGATTGGAGGAAATAATTAATTGATGAATACATAATGAGCTTAGAGGGGTGATGAGAGTTGGGCGAGATACTTATTGGCCGAACGCTGAGATGAAGGAGTTAACGTTGGAGAAAGATGAGACGAATCAACAGAGAACGAGGGAGATGTTGAATCCAACGTGACCTGTCGCCGATGATTCCTGACCTAACAACTTGTGTCAATGTTTAACTCGCTCCAAGTTTTAGAAGCAAGAGTTACAGTGTCATGTCAAGAACGAGAAGGGTTGATTTTGTTCTATCAACGATTATATAAACGAACTGAAAATTAACCCAGAGGCCTTCTACGTTATTTCTTGTGCTATTTATACTATAACTAGCGGAAGCATTATTATCCTTTTCATAGCACGGTTCTGTCAACTCGATTCAGCGCTTACGTACGGATGAAAATTCGATCTTCACTGCTCTGTGATCAAAGAACACAATGTGGTAAAGGCAGATGGACAAACTAAGCGGTCGACAGATAAACATCAGTTGACCGGCAGCAGTTCTGACCAGCGTGGGAATAACCCAGGATCAAGTCAGGCCGGCCGAGTTATATGCATAGATTCTCATAAGAGATTACATCCTTAAAATTTCCCGGATGTCCACTATGAAACCCATTTAATATCTGTTTTTTGTAATATGCTAGTTATTGCTACACTTTGTTCAAACGTTAGTACTCTGTCACATACTGAATAAGCGATCAAGTCTGGATAGCTTACTAAAAGTCGTCTATCTTTCCTACTTTCTTTTAGTCGTTTATTTTCGAAATAAACATCTCTTGTTCTGTTTTTTTACTTTTTTTATTCCAGGGGAACTGGTAATTCGGGTACTACATTGCATAATATATTTTTCTATTTCACTTTTTAATGCTGTAATAACAGAGTCCTCAAATGGTTCAGTATTCTTTGGTTTCAATCTTGATAAACAATCAGCATGTCCTAATTTTCGAACGGTTTATATTCCATCCTGAAATTGTAATCTTTTTAATCATTAAATTTAAAATTTCCATTAATTAAATAATTCTGGTGTATTTCAGATAGAAACTATATACATTTGATTATCAAATTTAATTTCAAATTCTTAAATTTTCTTAAAATCGAATTTTTTTAATTTTAAGAAATTTGTAAACAAACACAAATTTATCGATTTTTAAAATTATTTAAAAAATAAATCTGACACGTTATTTTAGTAAAATTAAAAATTTAAAGTTAAATTTAATCTGATTTGAAAGAAATCTTACTTATAGCATAAAAAACAATATACAACCAATTATTAACGATCCGTCCTGTTCATCTGATCCAACTATTGATGGATTGTTGAATGACGAATCGACGACAGCTACTAAACGGATGACCATAAATGATAATTTTTAAAATCTGAGTTAACGTTAAATTTTTTTGGTGGTTTTTTACTTACCTAGTAATTGTTAGAACAATCTACGTGTTTGATGACGACAGCTACTACGGATATGAAATGAACATTTTTCCGCAATTTTATTGACTTTTATTTACCTTTCGAAGATGTAAAAAGAAAAAAAAATAAAATAAAATACCATGATAGAAGTAATTTAATAATTTATGAAATGGTAATTTAATTATTATTTAATAAATCAAAATTAAATGTTATTTCCAATCCAATGTATATAGTTTCTGTCTGAAATACACCAGAATTTTTATAAATTTTATAATAAATTTAATCATTTTTTTTAATTAAATATTTGTTTCCTTTTTAAGTTTTTAAAAAATTATTCTATTTAGTATCTTTTAAACTAATGGAAATACAATACATAAAATAAAAATATTTAGTGAAATTTTAAATGAAATTTAGAAATTACTTTAAAATTTCGAGTTTAAATATTACACTTTTTAAAGCTGAACGGAAAATACAACCTGTTAGCAAGCAACTAAGAAACGAAATATTATGAAAAGGCCACGTAAAGGGATAAAACTCTTAGATCACGTGACCTTGTTATAATAATGGCAATTTCAGTATATCATACATGGAAATAAGGAATGTATTAAGTAAAAAAATACAACGTAGAAAATTATTTTTTTAAAAATTAGCGCAACTAAGTTTATGAAACTTAGCAATTTTGGACTCGTAATTTTTTTTCCACTTAATTATTACATCACCTCGAGGAACTAGCCTAATACACAGCTTTACACAATTTTAAACTATTATAAATTATTATAATTAAAATTTCTTAAAAAAACGAAAAAATTCTTGTAAAACTTAATTATTCATCAGAAAAAATTTATTTCTTCAGATAATAATGTCCTTAATATTACTTATTTACAAAAGCAATTAACAGCTTTTCTAATTAAGTAATATCATAGTTTTATTGGATTCATTATTTTTCAATTCAGAGCAAATTTTCAGTTAGCTCAAATTTGAAAAAAAAGTAGGTTATTTATCATCTCCAAAGGCTCCTACTTTTAAAAAAAAAAAAAAATCACGAACCAGAAAGGTTTTGGGCGAAATTTCATGAAATTAAGTAAGTGTGTGAGTGGGGGGACATATTTTAAAATCAATATTTTTATCAAAATTTTCTAAAAAAATATTTCAAAAATAATTTCACTCATTTGTGAATAAGTCCTGAAAATTTCATTAAAATCGGACAATTACTTGATTTTTACAAAATTTCCAAATCAATATGTTTTCAACGGAAAAAAAATCAAAAAAAATGATGACGTGATGACGTAAACAAAAAGACATTTAACCAAAATTTCGAACCTGTTAGAAAATATTAAAAAAAATTAAAAAATAATTAAAAATACTTTGGTCTTTCTTCTTAATAATAACATAAGCATTTTGACGATAAAACTTTATTTTTTTAAGTTTGTGTCATTTTTCATTACGCTATGCTGTTTTCCCGCGAAAACAGTGGAGGATCTTAATTTACAGGGATTCCTCGACTTGCGTCGGAGATCCGTTCCTACGGTCCAACGTAACCTGATTTTCGACGTAAGTCGGAATGCACTACATAAGCACCGACGAATCTGCCTTACGCTTGGGTGCCATAAAGAATGGCAAAAAGTGCAAAATTATCCAAATAATACAAACGTGAGGTATGGGGGACATAGAACAATCCAGTATGACGTGAATCCAGTGAAAAAACAACGCCGTCTTCCTCATCTAGCGCCGCGTGATGACGTATTATATTATGAAAGATGGCGCTGTAATCTTTTAAACACCGTACATCGAGTCCGACGTAACCTGAGGACCTTCTGTATTTATATAGAAGGAAGTGTTGTGGAATTGCGTCCAACCAATGATCTCAATCCATGAAATATAACTCGTTGTTCTATATATTCACCCCGCAGTAACCAAGTATGGTACATTGTTTCCGGCTTTTTTTAAGTCCTTCAGGAAAAATTTTGATATTTAATTGTTCAAATACAGTAAAACCTCAAATTAACGGCCTCTGAACCAACGGACCCCGGATTTAACAGAGAAAATCCTCAGAAATAGTAATGCCCAGTTGGAACTCAAAATGCTCACGCCTAGCGAGTAAAAAAGTCCGTTAGTTTCAAAATTGGTCGCCTTTTTGGTTTTTTTTTTTTTTTTAATTTTTTTTTTTTTTTAGCCGCAATCAACAGTCAGAGACTAGTAGATCCGGGAATAACCGCTGTTGTCTACTTGAATGTTAAATAAATATATATATATATATATATATATATATATATATATATGTGTGTGTGTATGTATGTATGTATGTATGTATATATCAAGTAAAAAGTTCTTCAAATGAATGGACAAACGGCTTTAACGGATGATCCCTCTATTAGTCCGTTAAATTGAGGTTCCATTCCGCCGACAAAATGAAATGGGTCGGACCTAGAGCTTTTCAGCACCCCTCATAAAAAAGAGACTTAATTAACATGCGATCAGATTAAAAACATGGGTAAAAATTAATGTGAGTGTGTGTGTGTGTGTGTGTGTGTGTGTGTGTGTGTACACGCGTCATCACGTGTTTGTGCTTGTGTGTGTTTCTGGGTGTGAGCCTTCGCGTGTATTTTATGTGTGTGAGAGCGCTCGTGCGTGTCTGTGTTTGTGACCGCTTGCGTGTGCTTTGTGTGTGAGCGATTGCGTGTGTTTGTATGTATGTGAACACTCTCGTAAATGATTGCGTATCTTTTGTATGTATGTATTTGTGTGACAGCGATGCGCGTGTGCTTGTGTGTGTCTTTGTGTGAACGTTCGTATGTACCTGTGTCTGCGTTTGTCTGTGTGTGGAAGCGTTCACGCGTATCTGTGTGTGTGTGGGGAGGGTATGTGCGTGTTTGTATCTTGTTTAAAACCTGAGAAAATCATTTGAAACTTTTCTATTTCTTTTTTCCTACGGCTCCTATTGCTCTTTTTTCTGGCTTCCGATGTTAAATGTCAAATTTATATCATCTCACGAGGCCCTCAATGCGATGGACAGTTATTTCGCAATATTTACATTTGGACAATTTTCCTCGTCTTTTTTTGTTTTTTATCACAACGTTTCGGTTGTTGTACCCTCGGCCTTCATCAGGTGTATATCAATACAGGTAACCTAAAGGGAATATCGAGCTGAACCCTTTATTTAATCTACGGACGGAGACTGTTCTTCCAATGACCATGCCTAGGGATATCTCATCTTTTTTTAAAACATTTCGCCCCCAGCAAGACGGGAATCCCACTAGAACGCAAGAGGTTATAGAGAGTCAAATTAAAAAAAAAAGGGATATTGAGGAAAGGAAAAAAGAAGAATAGTGATCAAAATCAAGCCATCAGATGTCGATTGACATTACGTTTATATTTTTTGAAGATTATAGTTAACAGGTAAGCAAATATTTAAGGGAGTTCCACTGCTGGGAATATATAGATATAAAACCGTTGGAGTATAGGCGGTTACATTTAACTGTTTCGGCAGTAAAAGGATGGGACCGAAATTGAATCCAGTAGTACACTCTGAATTCATGCAGTCGGAGCACCATATAAATAGTTTCTCAGAGCAGATGCCATGAAGACATTCGTAGAAAAGACACTTTTTAATATACATCACGTCCGTGAGGAAATGGCTGAAGTCGAGATGCTAGCTCAAAACATATCACATTGCTTATCTGTCTTTGGATTTTGTCGAAAACGTCGAGATGAACAGCAGGGCACCAGACCATATATAGCAACAGTATTCAATGTATGGAAGAATGGTAGCTTTGTAGATTAAAAGGATGAACTCAGACGAGAAAAACCTTTTAGCGCGACACAGAGAACAAACTTTCCTTGCAGTAGATGCAGCTATTGATGCAATGTATATTGTCACACCTCAGGTCAGTGGAAAATATGAACCAAGAAGGCGCATTGAGACATTCTCGTTTTTGAGCATCAGCCGTGCTGATAGGAGATAAGAAAAGGTTTCTCTATGGTGGGTAAATGAGAGCAGTTTCATTTTGGAGGTATTAAAATTTACAAGCCATATTCTGCAAAGATTGGATGTCCTTTTAAGACCAACGTCAGGTTAACTAGCCGGATTGAGACAAGAGTAAATGGTAGTGTCGTCTGCGTAAAGTCTACGTGAGAAGTGAAGACATCAGAAAGATCGTTGATAAAAATTTCAGAAACTGTTTCAATCTTATTTTTAATTACTATCAGTTATTGCTCGCCCTGTTTCCACTAAGTGCACACTACCCGGCCCAGGGATTGAACCTACATTTACTATGTCAGAAAATTCACGAACCTAAACTTTAATCAACTCAATATGAGGAAAAATAATCGTTTTAATTTAAAGCATAAGTTTTTTCCTCTAAAATAAAATAACAAGTTATAGTCAACAATATCTTGTGTACTTTTTCACGTATCCCAGTTCTTGATAGTAACTGAAGCCGAAAATACTTTAATCAAAACAGGGCAAAACAATAAAAAAATTGAAATGTTCAACAATGTCTTCTTATAATGCATGTTGATATGCATAAGAAGATTGTTATATAAACATGGACTTTTAAAGACAGAAACAGAGAGAGTGAGAAATGAGGAAAGAAAGATTAAAACCGAATAGATTCATAAAAAAAGGAAAGTGAATTAAGAGTGAAAAAAAAAAAGACATAAATATAAAACCAGAGGAAAATGAAGAGAGAAATGGGGAAGGGACAAGAGAGGGTTACAAAAATTGAGAGAGAGAGAGAGATAAATATAAAACACAAAAACAGACAGGAAGAAGAGAGAGACAAAATATGGGAGAAATAAAAGAAACAAACAAAAATAGCTAGATAAATAACTTTGGGAAAATTGAATTGAGAGAGGAATAACAGAAAAACAACAGAGAGAGGGAGAGGGGAAAGAGAGAGAGAGCAAAAAAAGATACTGGAAAGAAATTGACGAAACAGAGAGAGATGGAAAATCAGAAAATGGTTGAAAGTCAGAAAAAGAAAAAAAAAACAGAAATATATCAAGAAAAAGAAAAAAAAAACGACGTAGAAAAGGAAAAATATAGAGAAACAAAAAAAAAAAGATGGATAAATAGAAATAGAGAAGTAATTTTCATATGAGATAAAAATACATTGTTAGGGAAAATTTGAACCATTTTTCCTTTTAAAAAAAGGAAAAAAATAGACAAGCATAAACAGTTGTAAAGAGAAAGAAAAAATTAAAAAAGGCAGAAAAAAAGAGTTATTAAGGGGTGGAAACAGAACAAAAAAGAATTGTTCTTAAAGAAAGAAAGAAAGAAAGAAAGAAAGAAAGAAAATGAAACATTCACAGAGAATTATTAAGTGAGACTTATCATCGAATGATGCTTATTTTTTAAGCTATTATTCCAAACTATATTCCTTGAATTTAAATTGTAACACCGATTTACAACACACAATTTGGTCGGGCCCCGCGATTATTTGAAGAAAGTATCCTCATCTTTATAGTTGTTATCACAATACGTCATCCGATTTGTATTTCCGCCTTTCTAAAGTATATCAGAGCATGAATCTCTGTGTGCGGAGCAGTTTCTCTGCGTCTATTGAATAAAATTTTGATGACATAAAGATTATCATGCAGTCAGCATAAGCCTCGTTGATTGGCTAATAATTCAGCCAGCACTATCCGGTCATAATGGCCTGGTGAACAGTTTATGATTATGGACGTTGAAATTTAAAACTTATTCGGAAGAGGGTTAATGGCATCTGCTTTAAAATGGTTTTATGTAGATTGCTATGAATGGCGCCCATTATTCAACTCGCACATGTCTAAAACTATTTTTTTTTAATTTTTTTTATTCGTTCAGAAATCGGCTCCTTTTCGAATTTCTTTCCTTCTTTTTATCTTCATTATCAAGTTTTTTCTTCTTCTTTTTTGTCCTTTATCTTCTTCTATACTTTGCTTTCCTTTCTTTTTTTTTTTTTTTTTTTTTTTGTCCAAATTGTTTTACATTTGCTTTCATCCTCGTAATCAAATGGCATTCTGGGTAATTCTATTTTCTTTCATTATCTTTCTTCTTTCCATCTTCTATCTCTGCAATTTTTTCATTTTTCTCTCATTTAATTTACTTTCCTCCTCTCTGTTTAGATTCTGCTTTTGACCTTCAGTCTCTCACATTATTATTATTATTATTATTATTATTTATTATTATTATTATTATTATTTTTATTTTCTTTGATTTCTGGCGTTTACATTTCTTTCCGGGTCCTGCCCAGGGACCTAAGGTTAGAAATGGCATCATGACACTTTCCACTGACAAAAAAAAAAAAAAAAAAAAAAAAAAAATTACATAGATAAAGCCCTTCGTAAAGTGTGGGCTGTACTTGTCAGAACAATTTTTTGTATCTCCTTGAGGCATGGACTTCCAGGAATCCCTTCAATTAGTCTACTGCAATCTTTTCCAACCAGTCCTAGGGCTCCAACTACAACAGGGATTGTTGATGTTCCCATATGCCACATTTTCGAGATTTCTATTTCAAGGTCCTTGTATTTTGACAGCTTTTTGAATATCTTCAAAGATACATTGCAGTCAGCAGGGACTGCCATATCAATAAGGAGGCACTTTTTTTTGTTTGTGGTCTTTAATAACAATATCTGGGCGGTTGGCCTTGATTGTTCTGTCAGTGTGTATTGTGTAGTCCCATAGAATTGTAACAGGTCCTATCTCCGTAACCGGGTCTGGGTGGTGTTCATACCAGTTTCTTTCAGTTTTTTCCCGTAGAAGTTGCACATTTTCCAGTGCAGATATTGGCCCACTCTGTCATGTCGGGTTTTATATTCAGTGGGTGCCAACATCGTGCAACCTGATACAAGATGATCAATCGTTTCTGGATATTTATCACAGAATCTGCATTTTGGGCTGACACAATATTTTTAGTATATGTGCTTGATAATTCCTAGTTAGCAAGCATTGGTCCTGTGCAGCAAGGATAAAACCTTCAGTTTCCGCTTTCAACCCTGCACTACGTAGCCACTGATGGGTACGGGTTTTGTCTACGTCAGCTTGTTTGGTACGGGCAGAGTATTGGCCATGAAGCGGTTTATCTTGCCATCGCTTCTGTATCTGGTCGGTTGCATTTGTCTTTGCTGTCTTTTTTAGTATTTTGCAGTTTCAGCCGGTGTATTGTGCTGTAGTTGCATCTCTACGCCCATTTGAAACTCCATTTTGAATTTGTTGGCTTTCTTTCATTACGGAAGTAAAGTTTTTACTACTTTCATGTTCCTTGACGCATACCATCATCCAGTCTTCTGTAGTTTCCAAATATCTTTGGAGGCCAATTGTTGTAGTTTTGTAGGACAGTTCTAGTTGAACTAATCCTCTGCCTCCTTCGGATCTGGGCACATACAGACGATCAACATCAGCTTTGGGATGATGCATGCGATAGCAAGTGTTTTCTTTTTCTCGTTTTGGCGTCCATTCGCTTAATTTCAGCTATGGTCCAGTTAAGGACATTAAAGCTGTATTGCACCAAAGGGACAGCATAATGTGTTTATGGCTGATATCCTGTTTTTTTTGTTTAGCTCAGTATTTAGTACCAGACGTACACGCCTGTAGTACTTTTTTTCTTTTTTTTTCCTTCATTTGGGGGTGTTGTATGCCATCTCCTTCGCTAATTCCTAATTACTTATAAGCTTCATCATGCTCCAGTTCCCTAATCTTTTTGACAAAATCTAAATCTATTTTGTGTTTCTGTAATTCTACCTTTCTTGAAAGTTATTTTTGCACATTTATCTAATCCGAAGTCCATACCTATGTCGTCACTGAAGTATTTTACAATATTGAGGAGGCCTTTTCAACTCATTGTCGTTTTTGGCAAAGAGTTTGAGATCATCCATGTAAGTAGGTGATTGAATATTTTCTTATTTATTTTTAACCATTATTACTGTTGTTCAGTTCATGTGTAAGAGGATTAAGGATAAACAAAACAGAAGGGGTGAAAAGAGAGTCTCCTTGAAAGTTTCCACGTCGGGATATTCAGTTGGTTGGATATGGCAGAAAAAAAACGGTGTGACTAAGTTATAGTTGTGTTTCTGACATTCCCATGCTATGCTTACAGGAAATTTCTTTACCACAGGGGAGATTTATTAGATTATTATTATCAATTATTTTTTTGATGATTGTACCAAATACACATTTCTTTCCAGGTGTTTGCCCAGAGACCTTTTTTTCGGAAATTTAATTTCATTTTTTTTATTCCAAATGACAAAAAAATTATAAGATAAAACATTTGGTAAAAAAATTGTGGGCAAACCTTTTCATTTGTTTAATCTGTTTAATGATGGTAATTTGAGGCATGGAAAAATTCTTAGTTTCCAGCAACTATTGGAATTTTTTTCAAAAATATTTGGACATGATATAAATTGGGTTATTGATTTTCTTTTTGCGCCAGATTTTTAATATATATTTCTATTTAATGGAAATTAATGTATATTCTTTTTTTTTTTGAAATCTTCAAAGAAAAGGAAAAATGCAGGGATGCCATATCAATAAAAGGAATTTTTTGTTAATGGTCCATAATAACAATGTCTGGGCAGTTGGCTTTGATTGTTCTGTCAGTGTAATATTCAATTAAAGAGCCATAGAAAATAAGTGTTTATGTTTCAAATCAGGTCTAACCTTGTATGACCTGGGTATTTGTTCAAAATGTTTTTCAAATTCCAAAGCAGAAGGGATATTTTTTGTAATGCAAACTACAGCCCACACTGTCATGCCGTGTTTTTTCCTCCAGTTAAAATTGAAATGTAGGTGCAGAATATGATATTAGATGATCAATTGTTTCTGGATATTTACAATTTTTAATTTTATTAAAAAATTATAAATATTTTATTATTTGATTATTATTTATTATTATTATTCATTATTCATTCATAATATTATTGTTACAATAATAATATCTTAGATAAGATAGTAATAAATAATTTTTAAACAAAAAAAAGATGATCCAGAATGTCTGACCTCACTTTCTCTGATTTCCTCTTTGCAAAGATTATTTGCTCACATTGTCCTTTTGACCTAAGATGGAACGAATACGTTGAGTCATTATGACATCGTCCAAACAGAAGGAATGTTGGCTCCCAGTTATACACAGAATTTTTTCTCGCCGGAGTCGATTTTTAAATCTAAAAATCAACCATATTCCCTTGCATGGACTTATTTTTCTTTTTTAGTATTTTGCAGATTCAGCCGGTGTATTTTTTACTTGTATTTCTGCGTACATTTGAAATAATGTTATTATTATTATTATTATTATTATTATTATTATTATTATTATTATCATCAATTTATAAGGCTTTATTTTCTTCGTAAACAGGTGACATTTTCTCATTTATACTTGAGTATAATGTAAATATTCGTCATTTATACTTGCATAGATTATAGTTAAGAACATTATGAATACATTTCTTCTTCCTGAGATTTATTAGTCTGTAAACGTTTATTTGGTAGGTGCCCCATTTTTACAGGAAATTTTATTCATTGCGAATTTTGTGTTCTGCATTTTCTATATATTTTATGCCGACAGTACAGACATCGAAATTTCTTTCATATTGGCATATGTATATATCAACCTATAATGAAAATTTATTGCCAGTCGTGAAATTTTTGTCAAAATTTAACTCAATATTGACACATGCAGTTCATTTTATTGCATGTTCAATGGACATTAGGGGAAATATCCTTTATTCGGGTTTTTGAAAACTAACATATGTTGTCAAAAATATACGAGTGGATCATGGTTCAAATAAACAAATCTTTCAGAAAATGGTTTAAACGTAGCTTATTTTAATTAATAAAACGCAGACATATCAGCTAAGCAAAATAAAGATTGTTTGACGATAGAAATTAAACGATGTATACTATCATTGCCATTCGTCTTAATTCTATTATTAAATACCCTGCAGATGTAAATACTCTTATTAAACTAATGATCTCAGTAGAAATATATATCTATTTAACTAATCTCAACCGATTTGATCGCAGATCATTGTCAATCTATTGTTTGGAATTATCTTTAGAGCCGTTAAAAGGATTCCAATTGGGGATAATTATTAGATAATGCACTTGACAAAAATAATACGTAAGGGTAATTTAGATACATGCCTATTTAAGCAATGAGTATTCAGAATGTTTTTAGATAAATTTGCTTTTAATCCATAAAAAAAATATCTATTAAACTTTTCCCAGATCTTCATATTTCCGTGTAAATGTTTGTTGAACATGAATTAACAATTAAATTTTTAAAAAAACTACTGTTTTGGAGTTATCGACAAGAAAAATTCGGACTCACTCGCGATCACTCATCGGCCATTACGGGCATTGTTTATTACATTCTCTCCTGACGACTTCCGGCCGCGCAAGCATAAAATTTTTTAAATTTTCTTGCTTTTAATGGATTTTTGGTTGGTAAATTACTACGCATTTTAAATTGTCGAAATCAATGACAAATTTTTTGGGTTTTTTTTCTTCAACTCTCTTTTTTTGTTTTTTTATAGTAAAACTTTCTTTTTAAATTAAAAAACAAACAAATTAAATAATAAAATAAAGCTTTTCTTTTAAATTAAAAATAAATCAAATAATACTGCGCAAACTTTGCATAAAGTTTGAAAAGAACATGATTATTTACAAAATAATGCAAAATGCTCCTTCCTAGCATTTTAGCGCGCGAACTTTGTAAAGTGTATGATTAAAGAGAATGATTATCTACAAAATAAAATTACAAAAGAAAAATAATGCTAGAAACGAAATAATAATTAATGCGTGAACTTTGTAAAGAGAATGATTATTTACAAAATAAAAAAAATGCATTTTGTTTTATTTTGTAAATAATCATGCTCTTTTCAAACTTCATGCAAAGTTTCGTTTTATTTTTAATTTTCTTGTTTTTTCAATTTAAAAAGAAAGTTTTACTATAAAAAAAACCCCAAAAACAACAAGTTAAGAAAAGAACAAAAAAAACTTGTCATTGCTTTTCGACACAATTTAAGTGTGTAGTAATTTGCCGGTTGTTACAGCAGTAAAATCCAGAAATCAAAGGAAATAATAATAATAATAATATCTCTCATCTTATCATTGGCCACTCATGCCACAATTAATTTTATTCTCCGGATTAAATAATCTGTATTAGAGTTCTTTTCAATATTACACAAACTTTTTTGTCACTTTTACAGGTATTTTGAATCGTGAATGTACAGTCATTAAAGTTTCTGCTACCTCAGAAGATGCCCCAGCAATTACATCATTGCTAACACTCCTAACTTTTGCCAGAACCAAATTTGTTAGAAATGTCTTTCCTGTACCAAGCGGCACAATAATATTACTTTCCAGACGATTACAAACAGGGCCGTATACTTTCTTTTGTTCTGAATTGAGAAATGGCTCTATTTTCGCTCACAAAATGTTCTTCTTGAAGCAGATTTTATTGCAATTCATGCATTAATTCCGAATTTCCAACCGCAAAATGTAACTTTCTTGCTCTTCGAATTGGCAAATCCAAATCTTCGAAGGATTTATTCTCATTCTTAATTTTTATAGGAGGCATAAAAGAGCTTGGTCCTGATGTATTTTGTCATTCATTATATTTTTGCTATATCTTTCTGTTCGATATCCTTGAAGAACGACTGCAGGCATTGAATTCTTAAATTGATCCCATAATTGTTTAGAGTTATTTACCTCAGCATTTATTAGTAAAATAACAAACAAATCTCTCAAAGCATTTTTTAGTTTTGTCCTCTCAACATCTTTCATATATTATACAATAAACCAATAATAAACCATAATAGAAAATCCAATAAACACCTTTTTAAACTCGCATTTTTGAATGAAAGAATTATATTAATATTATTATAGTAATTTCCTTAAATTCCTTAATTATATTAATATATTATAGTAATTTCCTTTAATTTATTACAAAATTTGTATTTGATTGTATGCCAATTTTAAATCAAGTTTGCAAAACATTTCATGCCCGATAATTTATGGATAGCGGTTTCTATATTGAGTATAGGAAAAGAATACAAGAATATTTACGCATATTTTAAAATCACCTCATATTCTTAAATCTCCGTCTGCATTACGCAAGACTACAGTGGGAGAGGCCTATTTATTGGCACCTGGAGGAACATGCTTCAACGTTCTATCCTCCACCATTTTCCTTAACTTAGCAACTACCAGGGGTAGAACGCGAATAGCTAATTTACGAGATTCAAAAAATAAAAGGGAGCACTATTTTCATTTAATTGTATATTCACGTTATACTCATTAAGCCTACTTTTTTCTGATTTTACGCTACTGATTAATATCCACCTTTAGAACATCTACACCTATTACTCCATGATTTTTTTTTACATTCCACTACTTTAATGGGAATAATTTCAAATCTGTCATATGTTTCAAAAGTTCCATTGAATTATCTCAAAGTTCTTATAATAGTTCCATCAAATTGTCTCAATCTCAGTTAACTCATTTGTTCCACCCAAATTCTTGAGATCAGAGTGACTTCCCTCCCCGTAACTTCTAACATTGTACACGTCATGTCATTTAATTTAATGTTTCCAAAAGTATACGTTTCCTTAGGTTTTTGTATTGAAAAAACGTCATCAATTATTATTTTTATATACTTTTTTATGGAATAACTACTTCAATAATTAAAAACATAAGGTTTTTTACGGAAATATTTTGTAGTACATGAAACAATTGTGGTGAAAAGCATATGCACAAAATAACAGACCAATTGATTTGCAATGCAAGATAATATTTATGAGACAAATAAACAAAAGAAAAGCCTAAAACAAGAATATAGTTTGTTAGAAGTAAATTGCTTACACAACGAAGTATTCATGAATATGTTATAGTGGGAACTTAATTAGTTGATGTGCTTTATGTGTGTAGCGTTCACAGTCCCTTTAGCTTCAGTATGGAAATTTCATGACACCAATTCGAAAGACGAAAAACACTGAAGAGAGAGTTACTTTAGTGTCCACGTGTGTTTATATTCGGGAGCTGAAAATTATTTTTTCACCAGTAGTTGTATGAAATGATTCCAAAAGCGGGGCACTTTTTTTTCTGTCAATTTCATGCTCATTGTTACAGTATTTGGATCTCTTGCGTTGCTTTTCATATTGTAAGTTTCAACATTTGTCCTCAGTAGAATATTTTTTATCAATTCCAACTGTTGTATAACTACCACACATTCAGTTAGAAATTATTGAATTGTAATTGTTCCAATATCTTATATATTTGAAATGTATCGGGCATACCTTCAATCACTTGTAATTCATCCTCTGTAGTCAAATCTTGAGTACCAGATTTTTCAAATTTGCAGAATCTGCTAGCTTCCCTTAATCTGTGTTGATTCATTTTCTTTCTGTTTAATGGAGAGAAATTTGGTCCTTTCTGCTAGGGCAATTTTCTTTTTAGGTCATGAACATTTTAAAATTTCTGAAATTTCGACAAAAGTCAAATTCTCCAATTGCTTGGGGGTATACCATAACAAAAAATGTCTTTATAGCTTCCCAACTTGTCGAATCTAAAGTATAGTTCAGCTTTTAATTTCGCCTCCTTTTGCGAGGTTGTCATTCATTTTTTAGCTCTAGGCTGGGCGGCAAAACACCGGATCAAAAACTCGATAATTTCTGGTTCGTCCAAGCATCTGAAACATCATATAGGCGACGATATAAAGTTGGAATTGCGTTGTTCTACGACCCGTGGTTAGTAGTCAACTTCTCTTGTCTGTTAATTTCCTTTCTAATTTACATATGTAAATAGGTACAATCCTATCTGGCAATCCATTTCAGTATATGTGTGATGTCTATAATTTGATGATCGCAATGATGCTTGATTCATACGTATTTTGTAGAGTCGGTCACTCCCAATTTTAGCTACCAGATCAACCAAACTTATTAAAAATGTGGTTCATTTCATTTGACTCATACTTCTCTAGATATACGGGTTGTTGCAGCAAAATCCGACACTTGACAAAAAGAAAACGAAATAGGCAATAAAAACAAAAGTTGTATATGAAGAGACCCGACAGTTTATTTAGCAACAGTTAGAGTTACATACTACATTATTTTTCAATGTAACGTCCGGCGGCGACGACCATCTCAAGGCGAGGGCGAAATGTGTCACACGCTTTAGCGACCATGTCCTTGTCTATAGCGGCGAACGCTTCTACGATGGCAGCCTTCAGAGAGTCGACCGTGTTGTGGGTGCGCTTGTTGCTATTGGCCTCGATCACGTCCCAGAAGAAAGGTGAGGAGGGTGGCCACAAGCCCGGCGACCAGTGGTGAGGAACACTGTTGAGCAGACACGCCTGGGTCGTCTTGGCCTTGTGTGCAGGAAAAGAGTTCTGCTGGAAGACGTAGGGGCGTCCGGCGGCGATCTCGTCCATCCAGGGCTTCACCGCGCTCCTCAGCACCTCCTGGTCGATCTCACTGGTGACTATCAGGCCCTTTTGAAAGGAGAACGGAGGCATGACGTCCCTCTCGCTGGAGATGACGCCAAGGACCATGACGGAGGAGGGAAACTTCGTATGTTTCACGGAGAGAACTTTCTCGATGTCTTTACAGATCCACCTGTCGTTCTGCCTGTTGCTTGTCTGGTCCTGGATGAAATTCTTTTCATCAGAGATGAACCTCAGCATCCCGGCGGACCCGTGCTTGATCTCGTTCAGCAAAGTCGCCGCCTTGACCATCCTCGACTCCTTGAAGGCATTCGTGATGAGCATGCGGTGAGACTTGCAGTAGGAGGAGTAACCAATGTCCTTCTTGATCGTTCGGCAGATCGTCGACTTGTGACAGCCCATGTCAGCGGCGATCTTAGAGTAGCTCTGACTTCCATCATTGTCGACTGTCTCCTTGACGACAGAGACGAACTCGTTGATCCTAACAGCCGAAAAAAGATCATTGTAGTCCTTTCCTTTGGCAGTAAACACGTCCTTGTCCTCACATGCCTTTCACTTCCGCCAAATATCAATGACCATGGTCCTCTAGAACCAGAATCAGGCCATCACTTCCGCAGGTTCCTTCCCGACGCGAAAAGAAGCTACTACCGCTGCTCTGCACTAATATTCCATCCTGGAAAAGGGTAGGAAAAAAAACGTTAGTTTTCAAACTGCCGGGTGTCTACATATACAACTTTTGTTTTTATTGCCCATTTTGATTTCCTTTTCTCAAGTGTCGGATTTTGCTTTAACACCTTGTATATGGAAGTGTTTTTTAATGATCAGGTAAGGAATGTTAAATAATAATTTAGCACACTGCTATTTCTTAGAGAAGTGTATCTCTGCTCGGACTTACTGAGTGTGATCTTCGAGATCAGACGCAAGACGAAACAGGGAAGTCGGTTTTGATTAGCTGAACAAGCGATAGATAAAGAAGGTGTTTTCGCGTAGTGGATTCTTAACCGTCAAGCTATATAGACGTGGTACTTTCGTGTCTGGGAATTTGCTCTCCAGTCGGGTGAGAGAGCGTCCTTACTGGTTAATTAGAGACCTATATGCCAATAAGTTAAAATTATTTTTGTTGATGTCTTTCGTCCCTGGACACAAGAACATTTCGCGACCTGGCCGAGACAAGACGAGAGAGGAGAGAGAGTATACAACATCAGTTGTATATAAGCCGAGTTCATTTGGAAGTACCTTTCGTTGGACCACCTTTGAACTTGCTTTTCAAATATTTGTTCTTCCCTTTCTTCATTTATATTTTCTGTACTGTTTTTCAGATGTTCAAATATTTTTGCGCTGACATTTTATTTCGATTCTGCAGACGTTACATTTTGTGTTCTGATTCATTTATCCGCCTCGATCTAAGACGTTCATTTCCTTCTAGGTTTCTTGATTTTATTCCTGGCGCTCATGCCTTTCCTGATCATTCTCTTGTTCTTTTCTGTTACTTTTCTCTTTCTTGACGTCGCTTTGAATCACTTTGAGACATTCCTGCAGCTATTTTCGTAATGCCATTCTCCATTAAGAAAACTGATACGTGAGGAATTAAGGTTGGAAAGAAATTGCCAAAGAATATATCTAGTTTTCACAATTCTTCATCAAATCTGTGTGTATGCTTAAGATTTTATTTCTGGATACAATAGCAACAGCACTTTCATTACACATTTGAGTGAGTGCATTCTAAGTTGCATGGGAAAAATGGTGAATTCTTTCATGTAATACAGAAAACAGGACTCAAATAAAATTCAAAGATCCTTTATATAAATTATTTACATTATTCGGGCTATTGTCCCCATTTTGTCGACATATTTATTACGTTTCGGCTGTTGTACGCTCCGGCCTTCTTCAGGTGGTTGGAATGTCGAACTGAAGCCTTTATTTCGCTAACTTAAGTCTACAAATTTTTAAGGAATCAACACATATGCTAGGCCACAAAAATCTCCTGAGCCAACCCAGCATAGGAATGAATACTGAGAAGCAGTAATGAGTAGTGCCAGAGAAAAGCGATAATAACAACAAAAATTGCAATATAAGCTTTGGTAAAAACATGCAATGATAACAGCAAAAACTGCAATATGAGTACTGGTAAAATGATGTGCTCAAAGACACAGGACACAGTGGATAAAGGCGTTAGTTAGATCCACTGACAGGATCCAAAAAGTATGAGTGGGGAACTTTCAGAGGGAAATTAACAGGAGATAACCGATAACTGACATCGATTAAAACATGGCACGTGGAACTAGAACAGACTACCACAGTGAGCGAAATTTAGGGTTTAAGAAAAGGCTTGTTGTAATAAATATGGCAACAAAGATGAGGACAATAGTCCGAATAATGTAAAAAGTGTACATAATACCTCATCTCAGATATATAGACAGATACTGAAGGTCCGAAACGTTGTAATAAATATGGCGACAAAGATGAGAACAATAATCCGAATAATGTAAATAGTGTACATAATACTTCATCTCAGTAATATAGACAGATACTGAAGGTCCGAAACGTTGTAATATATATGCCGATAAAGATGAGGACAATAATCCGAATAATGTAAATAGTGTACATAATACCTCATCTCAGAAATATAAACAAATTCTTTATATATATCTGATAAATTAAAAGATGGAATTTATTAAGATTTTTTGTGATGATGATGATGATGATGATGATGATGATGTTGATGATGATGATATTTCATCATTCTAAAAATAAAAATCTGAAATTTCATCGTTATAGAAACAACATTTGCACCATATGCAAAGTAGCAGTAGTAAAAAGAACAACACTGGATAAGACGTATCTTCTCGGCTCCGTGAAAACACAGAAGTAACGGTTTCAAAAGCTTCCAATGACCATGAAATTCTCGGGGCAATTATAAAAAACTAAGCCCAAACTACATTTCAATATATCAAACAATACACAGACAAAACAATAATGATAGTGTGGCACCATGCATCCAGGCGATTTGAAAGAAAGAAAAAGAAGAAAGGAAGGAAAAAGTAATGCGAGACGGATCATAGGCGAACACACACACATGGCTTAAGAGGCAATAAAAAAAAATTAAAAAAAAGGGTTATTTTGGATAAGTGGCAGATGCCGAAAAAAGTGTCATTACAATGACAATGAGATTGAGTGGGTAGGGAAGTGTTATCTAAACTATTGGTACGAGAAAGCATCTTACTATCAAAATTAAAGGCCACCTGCGAACAAGCATTGACCGATTTCCCCACTTGTCCGCGCGAATAGAATTGTGTTATCAAGAAATGGTGTATCCTTAGAAACAGCCGCGGGAGACTGGGAGAGGTCCGGCCGGGGCCGCCCAGTTGCGGGGGGCGCAGAACTCCACCTCATGAGAATAATGAAGGTGATTTATTGCTGCCGGCGCCTATGGCTGCGTTGACCCAAGGGTGGGAACCCAGGAAGAGGAAAGCTCAAGTGTTCTCTTCGCTGACGCAAGAGAAAGAGCTATCCTGTAGAGCAGAGATAGGGGGTAGGGCGATGAAAGCTCTGGTAGACACAGGAGCATCTGTGTCATTGATGAGAGAGGAAGCATACAGGCGGGTGAAATGGAAGAGTGGGTTACGGGAAGCGGACATAGAGGTCACGCAAGCAGATGGAGCCCCCTGAAGATAAAAGGGATGGTGAGGCTCCCGGTGAGGATTGGGAAATTAAGAAGCACCCAAAATTTTTACGTAACCCCCGATCTGTGTACGGAGGCAATCTTGGGAGAAGATTGGCTCCGGAGCCAGAGGGCCCAGATAGAGTTCAACCCCACTGTGTTGATAGTGAATGGCGAGAGAACGGCATTGGGATGCCCACCAGAAGAAGATATAACAATAGTGGTGGAGGAAGATGTAAAGCTACCCCCTAGGACGGCGATGTCGGGAAAGTGTAGGTTAATATCAGGGAAGAAAATAGGAAAAGGACCCCTGCAGTTGGTCCCCGTAGAAGGGAAGGGCCTAGAAGAGAACGAGGTAACTCTGTGTGAAATGGTGGTGGAGGCAGCTGAATTAGTGCCCATTATGATGGTGAACCAGGCTCAAAAGACTATATAAAGGTTAGGAGAGGGGAAGAGATAGGGAAAGCGCTTCCCCTACGGACTCTGAATCGGGTGAGATTCGAGGAGGGACGAAGGAAACCTGTAGAGCAAACAGAAGGAATCGTGGACGAAGATATATTAGCACCGGATCAATTTAGAACCAGAGTGGGGGTCTGTTGAGGGATAATCGAGATGTGGTAGCCCAGTCAGACCAGGAATTAGGCCAGACCCACACAGTCAAAATGAAAATCGACACCGGAGATCACCCCCTGTGAAATTGAAACCCTACCGGACACCTATTCATAAAAGACACCTTGTAGAAGAGGCAGTAGATGAGATGTTGGAAGCTGGGATGATCGAAAGATCGACCTCCCCTTGGAGCTTCCCAATAGTAATAGTGGGTAAGAAAGATGGCGGGCACCGTTTTTTTTGTAGATTTTAGGAAACTAAATTCTATATCGAAGCCGTTGGCGGTGCCATTGCCACTAATAGATGACATATTGGCATTATTAGGGAAGGCAAAGTACTTCTCTACGTTGAACTTGAGGTCAGGGTATTGGCAGGTAGCCCTTGATGAGGCTGACAATGAGAAGGCCGCATTTGCGTGTCACCTGGGACTGTTTCAGTTCAGGGTGATGCCATTCGGTTTAGCTAATGCCCCGGGAGTCTTCCAACAGCTAATGTCAATAGTGTTAGGAGAATACGAGAGCTTTGCCATGGCATATTTGGACGATATCTTAATATTTGCGGAGACAATAGAACAACACTTTTTCCATCTAAAACAAGTGTTGGGAAGGTTAAGAAAACACGGCTTAAAATTAAAATTGTCGAAGTGTCAGTTTCTGAAGGAGGAGACTAGATATTTGGGCTTTGTCATCAACGGAGACGGTATTAATCCCGACATGGATAAGGTGAAAGTCATAAGGGAAATGCCAGAACCTAAGACAGTGAGACAGGTAAGAGGTTTTATAGGAGCTATAGGTTACTACCG